AAACATTTGAATTTCTCTCTCATAATCAGTTTTCTACCAATTTGTTAACATACCACCATCAACTATTATTATTATTATTATTATTTTTAGATAGAGTCTACCATCTAGCCCAGATAACCCTCAACTCTGTTTCTTCTTCCTCAGCCTTGTGAGTCCTGGGATTACAGAATCATAGACTACACTTTTCTTTTCTTTTTTTTTAAATGGTTGGTTCTTCTGGAGCTTTGGTGGCCTTTAACTCCTGATTCTTTTGCCTTCCTCCCAAGCGACTGGATTAGAAGTGTTTACCACCATGACTTGGCTGTAGGTCTTAATTTTAACTGGAATGTGTGTTCACCCACAATAAAAGCTCTATTTGCAACCTGCCCGCAGACAAGAAAGGGCCATGTACTTAGTTTTCACATGAGATATATGCATTAATGGTGGTCATAGCTTTTTAGAGAGCTTTGTTGTTGTTGCTGTGCAACACAAATTATAACTGGTCTCAATAATAAAAATTTGGAGTCACCTATCAGGGATGAAAGTTGAGAGATCAGAACGGCCAGCCACTGGAGTTTTCACCTCTACTAATGCTCAGACCAAAAGGGCGACCCTGCCCTTAGACTCTCTCCTCAGACTGCAATGAGCTCTTTTCTCCTCCTGCCTTGTATTCCTCTCTCCACCTAGCCATATCACTCCTGTCTCCACCTCCCTAGTGCTGAGATTAAAAGCACGTGATCCCAAATGCTGGGATCACCTTTGTGTGAGCTCTGTACCTCTTTTAGACCCAGGGTGGCCTTGAATTCAGAGATCCAACTGCCTCATTCTCCCTGGTATTAAAGGTGTGTGCCACCACTGCCTGGCCTTTATGGCTAACTAGTGGCTTAGCTCTGCACTTTGATCTTTAGGCAAGCTTTATTTGTTAGATTACATTGTTGCTTTTAGTACTGGGTATTGAACTCAGGGCCTCTTGCTATTGAGCTACATCTATTGTTTCGCTGAGTTTCACTCTGTAGCCCAACCTGGCTTCAAACTGGCTATCTTACCACTTCGGCCTCCTAAGTGCCGAGACAGTGTTTTGCTCTCTGCCTGGCCTAGAACTAATTCTAATGATTAAAGACATTGAGCAAATTCTCAAGTTCTTTTTGGCTATTTGGTTTTCTTTGGAAAAATATCTATTCAGATTATTCTTTCATTCTTTAAATGTGGGTTGTTTTTCTATTGTTGAGTTCTAGATATGGGAGAGATGTGTTTGCAAATTGTTTCCTAATTCCACATTGTCCTTCCATTTATCTGTAGGCTCCCCCAGCCTCATTTTATTTTTATTTTGAGACAGGGTTCACTACTTAGCACATGCTGATTTGATACTCAACTATATTTGAACTATAGGCACGGGACACTATATATATTCTTTTTTCCTACTTTTTTGATCATGTCTCTACTAGTTGGTTAGAGTTGCCACAGCACAGTTCGAAGCTGACCTCTTTGAAGATTAAAATCTTAATTTCAAAGGACCCTAATTCAACCCATACAACTTTGTCCTCCAGACCATCCAGATTTATGTTCCCCTCAAAGGAAAAATGCATTCTACCCATGCCACCGGAGAGCATCCATGTTCACACGGACTCTAAATCCACAATTCCACCTAACTAAATACGGGTTAAATGGGGTGCCACTAGCCTGCAGTTCCAGCATTTGTAAGGCTAAGGGTTTGTAGGGTATCATTTGGGCCCAGTAGTAGTAGTTCGAGATCAGTCTAGACAATACAATGAGATTCCCACCCTGTGTGTGTGTGGGGGGGGGGCAAAAATAACAACAACTAATAAAAAAATTTCCCCAAATTAAAACAAGATAAAGACATATTAAACATTCTTAATAAAAAAAAAATCTGAAATGCTGCAAAAGCTGAAAGTTTTGGACTACCAAGACGGTATCATAGGTGGAAATTCACATTATAAAACCATGCTTTATGCAAAAATTAAAACTATTGTATGAAATGACTTTTAGGACATATTTCCTGAAACAGGTATATATGAAATAAATTAATTTTGTGTTTAGACTTGGGTTCTATCCTCAAGATACCTCTCTATACGTATGCCAATATCTACTCTCACTCCCAGGACAGAACCCAGCACTTTGGAAGCAGATCTCTGAGTTCAAGGCCAGCCTGGTTTACAGGAGAGAGTGTTCCAGGGTAGCCAGGAATACAGAGAAACCCTGTCTCAAAAACAAAACAAAACACCACCCAAACAAAACAAATCAAAATAAGACAAAACAAAGAAAAAGAAAATTTGAATCACTTCTTGTCAGGTAAGAGGTACTCAGTCTGTATTACCTAAGTTATGTTGGGTGAGACTTGGGGTGAGTCATCCTAAGGCAAAAATTCTCTCCAGCTAAGAACCAGACAAGTTACATGCTTCCAGGAAACAATGGCAGGACATACACAGAATAGATATTTTCATCCCAAAATAGAGAAACTGGAAAAAAAAGAAGGGGGCCAGGTGCCAAGCCAGCATAAAGCACAGTGAGAGCGCTGACGTTGTGTCACACGCTTGCAGTATCCTCACTGGGACTGAAGCCGCTACTGCTGTGAGCTCCAGGACATCCCCACCTGAGGCAAGGCAAACTTCTCTATACTGTGTAGAGAAGTAGCTGGAGAAACAGTCAATGAAGAATGGCTTGTCATGGGTGAGTACCTACATATCTAAGAAATGAAATCTCAATTTCAGTTTCTGTCTGAGTGTGTGCAGGCATGTGTGTGCGTGTGTAGGTGAGTGTGCATGTGCAGAGGCCTGGGCAGGACTTCAGTTGTCTTCCTCTATTGCTCTCTGCCTTATTGCCTTGAGACAGGGTCTCTCACCGATTCACAAGTTCATTTTATCGTCAACCTTTGGGGATCAGCCTGTCTTCCCTCCACAGTGCTGCTGTTACAAACATTCGAAGCCATGCCTAGATTTTATGTGGGTTCTGGGGCTTCAAAGTCAGGTGCTCATGCTTGCAGAGCAAGTGCTCGCACCCACAGAGTCCATCTTCCCTGTCCCAGAAATGAAGACTTTGAAGACTCATCTCTGGCCGCTCTACTCACCTTGACTGGCTGCACACACTCTAACAAAAGGTTGTCGTATATTAGACCTTGTACTGAAGGGGAGTTAGTTCCGCATGCCCAAGGACTGTAATCATCCAAGTGCATTTTGAGAGGGAAACATTAGAGAGTCTGGGAAGGACAAAACAGAATTTTGTGCTGGCGGTGGTGGCTCACGCCTTTAATCCCAGCACTTGGGAGGCAGAGGCAGGCATCTCTGAGAGCTCGAAGCCAACCTGGTCTACAAGAGCTAGTTCCAGGACAGAAACCCTGTCTAAAAAACCAACCAACCAACCAACCAACCAATCAAACAAACAAACAAAAACTCCAGAATTATTTTGTAGGACGAATTCTAGTTGGTCTTAATAATAGGGGGTGAAAGCTGAGAGATCAGAGAAGCAGAGTGGCCAGCTACTAGAGAGTTTTCACCTCTACCAATGCTCAGACCGAAAGGGCTATCCAGTCCTCAAACTGCAACTGTCTCCATCAAACCTCAGACTGCACTGATCTCCCGTACCTTTTGCCTTACATTCCTTTCTCAGCCCAGCCATATCGCTCCAGTCTCCACCTCCCTAGTGCTGGGATCACCTTTGTGAGAGTGCTGTTTCCCTTTCAGACAGATTCAATCCAGTGTAGCCCAGGGTGGCCTTGAACTAACAGAGATCCCTCTTCCTCTGCTAGTTCTGGGATTAAAGGTGTGTGCCACCACTGCCTGGCCTGTAGTGGCTTAACTCTGTACTCTGATCTTCAGGCAAGCTTTATTTGTTAAAACACAAACAAATCCTCACTACAGAACTTGGTGAATGAACGTGAATGCCATGGGTGGATGGGGGAAAATGTCAATGGATTGTAAGAGCGTAAGCTGGCTAATTATGATGGTGGGAGGTTAAGGATGAGTAAAAGGATGAGTCTTAACTCCTCTCATCTCAAAGGCATTTTAAATTAGCTTAATAAACCCTGGGAGTATGGGGATGAGTATAATTCACACCACCTTTAGATTTTTGGCTTAGAGATAGCTTATCTACATTTTAAAATTAATGCCTGTGTGTTGCCCCCACCTCTGTACTTTTGCCCGCACCTGACAAAAGGAAAAGGTTGAGATTCAGCAGCAGAAAAACTGGGCTGTCTAAAATAAGGCAGCAGCTGCTTCGTAGTTCGTTCGCCTTGCTTGGTGTGAGGGCTAAATAAAAAAGGTAACGTGGTGAAGCATTTGGCACAGCTCACGCACCGCATGTGGACACCAGGTTCCGCCCACGCTCTTCCTCCCTGGCACGATAGCTGCGGAAAAGCCACCTACTGAGGAGAGGGTCTTTACGATGACCGCTTAGCCAGCCCCGAGGACTCAGAGCATTGCCTTCCGCAGCTACATTTCCAAAAGTCAAGTGTGAGAGGCAAACTAACTTCTCTTGGACAAAGGGTGTCTAGGCAGCAGTGACTCAAAGTGACAAGCCCAGAGTTATTTCCTAAGGTGGCGGCGATCCCAGGGTTCGGGTAACGGGCCTGCCAAGCAGGGGGCGGGGCGACTCCAGGTTTGGGAAAGGCCACTCCACTCCTGGGGCTTCCAGCAGTCCACGTCCTACGGCAAGCAGGAGGAGACAAACGCAGCCCCTCCTCGCCTGCACCTTCCCTGCTCGCCTTCGCGGCCCTGGCTGTCCTGTGGACGCTCGGCCGTGGGTGTGTGATTGTAAGGGGCGGCTCTACGTACGGCACAACTCTGCCTCGGCGCCCAGTTACCTTCGTGGCCTCGAAGCGCCGCGCTTCGCGATCCTGTTGCGCGGTCCCCCTGAGCCGCTACGGGAGGCGCTTCCCAGAGGGACAAGGGAAAGCCCGGCGGCCCGCGAGGGTGGGAGGCGGGACGCGGATGCCGCGCGGGCGCCCGGGGGCGGGGCTAGGTGTGCGCGGAGGGCGGGGCCTGGTGACGTCGTGGGCGCCGGTCGTGCTGTAGCTGTGGCTTTGGTGGCGGCGGCGGCGGCGGCTGTGATAGTGGCGGCGGCAGGGTGTCCGGGAGGCAGCAGCAGCAACGGCAGCGGCAGCGGCGGCCCTGAGGAGAGTGAGGCAGCCCCGTCGGCAGCCGCCCGCGCGTCAGGCGGAACCTCGAGCTGTCCGGCGGTCGCCGGCGCTGAGGCATTTGCCGTTTCCTACCGGGCTCGGCGCTCCCGGCCCTGGCTGGGCAGGGCAGAGTGCCCCTGGGGAGGGGCGGAGCCGTAGGTGAGGCTTCGGGACCCCTCCCCCTCCGGATCGGGCCGGGGGTGGGGGCGGGAAGGATGGGGAGGTCGGGAGAGCGGACCCCGCCCCAGCGCACCCGAGCCCACCGGCGGCCGCGCCCTGCGGAGCTCCGGGATTGGGCGGGAGCGAAGGCGCTGGCGGCGGGGACCTCCGCTGTGGGAGGTGGAGGGCTTCTGGCGCTCCGAGACCCGGAGGTGGGAGGCATGATGTGGGGAGACGGGGAATCTTGGGGATATTGGGGTGCGGCCAAGGTGGATCTGATGTAAAATGTTTAAGATGATCTTTTTATTATTTTGGACCTGGTGATATAGAAGAAGAAGAAGAAGAAAGGTTGTATTTCAAAAGGAAAATGAAGCGGGGATGTTGCCCTGGAGGTAGCTAGAGGGGCTATTGAAGCAGGTCTCACATTGCCACTTTAGGTTTTGGTTCTTGAGTGGAATTCACGGAAGGGAGAGAGTACCTTTGCGTTGATTTGGGATAGGTAAATTGTCAGCCTGAGTGACTCTGGTTTCACACACAAGAAAGAAGATGTTGCTGTTTAGACAACTTCATTCTGAAAGCAACCATGAGGGAATATGTGTCGTTACTCTTAGCCTCTTAAAAGTGCTGTCTTCCAGTTTATTTTTCCTGCGTTCCCCCCTCCCTTCTCTTGTGCTTGATCTCTTTGTACCACTTTTAATTTTTCAGCTGACCCTTGAAGAAAAGGAAGGCCCGGGTCTCAGGTAGTGTCTTTGTCAGGCACATTTCAGAGTAATAGTTGCAGGTGGTTGTGGTTGATTGCTTTGAGTGGATAAGACAAACTAATAGTTCTGTTGGAGCTAATTGTGTGAGAATCGCTTAAATGTTTTAAAGTGCAGCTGTCTTTTACACCTTGTTTCTCTCTAGACCTTGATACATTTTGTATTTATTGTATTTATTCATTGGGGGTGATTATTTTTGGGTTTTAAAAAAATGGACGTGTGTGTGTGTGTTCTCCAGATTTGAAGTCAAAGGACAGGCTTTGGGACTAGGTTCTCCCACTGTGGATTGCTATTGCTAGGATCAGATCGGTTGTCAGACTTGTGCCATAGGCACTTTACACGTCGAGTTATCTGGCTGTCCCTATTTTTTTTTGAATTTTTCTTTTAAGACAAGGACTCACTCTATCCCAGGCTAGTCTCCAGCTTACTGTGATTCTTCTATCTTAGCCTTCCAAGTGCTGAGACTGCAGACCTGACCTCCTATGCTTGGCTTTCTTGAAGATTGCTTTTATTTTTCATTTTCAGTTGTATTTATTGCAGTTTTTTTTCTTTCTTTCTTTTTACATTTTTCCCCCTGGTCCAAGATGGTTTCTTGGTGTAATGCTGGCTGTCCAGGAACTCACTCTGTAGACCAGACTGGCCTCAAAGTCAGAGATCCGCCTGTCTCTGCCTCCCAAGTGCTGGGATTAAAGGCATGCGGCACCAAACCTGGCTTTATTGCAGTCTTCATTAAACACTTTCAAAATGAAATAGGATTTTTTTTTATTATGTAGGTCCCTCCATTTTCAAGGAATATTGTCAGTGTCAAATGCTTTTAAACTGTGCTTCTTCTGGTATCCTGTGGTAGAATGTGTCTTACTTTTCTTGGGAGATGTTATTGAGAGTGAACAACAGTCTTTGGTGTTCTTCAGTTCACATCAGTGGTTCACAGTTTAGCACAGTAGACCCGGGTCTTCTGGATTCGTGCTTTCTATTAAACTGTGGTAACCACATGCCTTATCATTTGTGACTTAAACTATTTCTTGTTCAGTAAACAAGCCCTTTGATAGATACATATTATGATATAACGAGAGGCATGACTCTCCATAGTTCACTTATGGAAGAAGGGGAAACTACTAGGAAATGAAATTAAAAACAGTAACTTTCCTAATGCCTGCCTGATTTATTTTGGCCAAAGGAGTACTTTTCTGTAACCCAAGAGAGAAATGCGTAGGTTATTTCAGTAGTTGGAGATCACTGCCTGTTCTCCATGTTCGCTTCAGGAGCAGATGCTGATCTGCTAGAGAAACTTTTGCTTGTAAAGACTGGTAGGAAATGAGGCTATGATAGTTAATTGATAAAGTGTATAGTTCAATTTATAGTCATAAAATTAAAGATTAAATGATCTTTATGTAGACATTGAATAATTGGTTGGTACAGTGAGTACTTGTGATTTAAATTAGTTAGGAGCAAACCCCACGTATTTACTGCCTCCCCTTGCTGGAATTTTTGAGATGGGGTCTCACTATGGAGACAAGGCTGGCTTTCAACTCATAGAAATCTGATTGCCCGAGTACTGGGATTACAGGCATTCACCACCATGCCAGGCTAGTTTTGATATTTGAAGATTTAGATACTGGCTGCTGGGAATGGATATGTGTTTAGTGTGTAGTTTCTTTGCCTTACATGCAGGAAAGCTCTAGGTTTGATCCCCAGCACTGAAGAAAACAAAACCCAAAAGATATTGGGTGAAACTTGGGTGCGTATACTAATGTTTACATGATAATGAATTGTGATTCTTGTAGAAATAAAATTGTGTAATTTGGTAGGTGTCAGAGATGGAAATAATTTAACTTAGAAACCAGTTTAGAATTTCGTGTATCTGAAAAAATCCTGCATTTTATTAATCAGGACATATTACTTGAGTGCTATAGAAATGGCTCAGCACTTAAGAGAGCTTACTGCTCTTCTAGAGGACCTGAGTTTGGTTCCCAGCACATGTCAGGCTGCTCGCAGTTGCCTCTAGCCCTAGCCTTAGGGGATCTGACTTCCTCTCTGGCCTCACATTCACATCATTCACACCCTGTGCACATAACTAAAAATAAAATAAACCTGTGATTCCAGTGCTTAGGAGACTGACACTGGAGGATTGCCTTGAGCTTGAAGCCAGCCTGGCTACATAGTGAGTTCTAGGTCTGATTGAACTACAGTGTAGATTGTCTGTTTTTTTTTTTTTAAAGGCTGTTTGCTTCTTATTCCCTATCCTACTGTAGTCGAGTCCATTGGAGTGTGTTTTTCTTTACTATTAAAGTCGCAGTTATATCAGTCTTGTAATCCAGGTTCAAACTGGAAATTGAAAGGTGAAGGGTTTCACAGAACAGCTGCTGTTTCATACTGTTTATGCCCTTTGTAGGAAGGAGTCTGAGAGCTGTTAAATACATTTTATTTATAAGGTATCAGAGCCACTGATGGAGAAAGAGCAGAGAACAGAGTGCTATGTGTAATCAAATAAGTAGTACATTAGCTATTTTGAGAGCGATGGGCTATGATTATGTGGAATATAATTGGATTGTATGGCACTTGAGGTTTTCCATGTTTTGGAGTGTCAATTCTGGAATTAGAGTGTTTAATCCTAGCCTTGCCTTGTATAGTGTAGGGCATATTGCTGCTTAAGCTTAGTTGTTTTCTTTTTTTTTCAAGGCAGGATTTCTCTGTATAGTCCTGGCTGTTCTGGAACTTGTTCTGTAGATTAGGCTGACTTTGAACTCAGATCTTCCTGCCTTCTCCTCCTGAGTGCGGGGTTAGACTGCTAGGGTTGAAGTGTATGCCACCATAACTAGTCTTAACTGCAATTTCTTTAAAAATAAGATAATTTTATTTATGTGTATATGGTGTATATGTGAGTTTCTGTATATCACAGATGTGCAGAGGGCCAGAGGGCATTGGGTCCTCTGGAACTAAAGCTATAGATGTTGTAAACTGCCTGATGTAGGTGCTAGGAACAGAACCTGGGTCCTCTGCAGGAGAATAAGTGCTCTTAACTGTTACCATTTCTCCAACCTTAATTTCTTAACTTTAACTTCTGTTTAAATTCTTGTGAAAAATTAGAATAGTAGCAATAGTATTTCAGCTCTTAGGATGGGTAAATGGGTTAATGTAGCGAGAACAATGTTGGCACATGATCAGCTTGTTTGTTCACACCTTCTGAACTTTATTCCTTGAGCATTACTTTTTATTCATTTAAAATACGCAGATTGAAGGCTGGGAGCTGTTTCAGTAGGAAAAGGTTAATCAAGCTGAACACTTGATGAGTCCCTGGGACTTAGATCCATGGTCTAAGGAAAGAACCAGCTCCTACAGGTTGTCGCCTGGCTTCCACCTGCACCCGTCCACACAAAAACACAAAATAAACAGTGTAATATAAAAAACCCACAACTCATTGAGCATGTTTTATGTTAGGTGCTAGGACTCTAGCAGGGAACAAGGCAGACAGAAACCTGAAATCGCATGGAGCATTTATGCTAGGTGAGGAGACAGATCATTAAATAAGTAAATGAGTGAATCACACACGTGGGTGTTAATAAGTATTGCCTTAGTTCTTTTCCTATTGCCATGTTAAATATCCTGACCAGCTTTTCTGAAGGGTGGTTTTCATGTCTGTCATGATGCCCCAGGAGTGATGATAGGTAATGTGTTTTTTTTTTCCACCATTTATTGAACCAGTAATGACTGTGACCCCCCCCACACCCCCCCCCCCAAAAAAAAATTCTGACAGAAGCAACTTCAGGGAGACAGGATTTGTATATAGTTCCAGAGGGATACAGTGGAAGGGAGAGCATGGTGGCAGGAGCCAGAAGCAGGTTTATCATGTGTTTGCGCTCAAGAAGCAGAGAGTGAATGGGAAGTGGGTCTAGACTTCTGTAAAAAGCGTCACTGTTCCCCCTGTGACCCACTTTCTCTCTCACTGCTCTCCTTCCTAAAAGTTCTACAACCTTCTCAAACAGTGCCACCATTGGGGACCATGGGAATCCTTGGGGGATATTCAGATCACAAACAGAAATGGAGAGAGAGAAGGATAAGTAGTGGATGGGGATTTCCATGGTTTATAAGCCATCGAGGTTTCCTGAGAGTAACGTGGAGTGCCAGTGTGGAGTTTTTAGCACTATACTCTGATAGCACAGACTCGGACTTGTGTTTTAGAAGAATGGTTGTTACCTCTCTGGGGTGTTAGGACAGGGTGGGAGATAGAAAGAAATAAGGGCA